AACAATTTTTTAATCGATAAAAAATGATAAATATAATAGAAAAAGATTTGCCTATGGATTACATGAACATAACATCGGCAGCCAAATCAATGTTCACTGGTAATGAAAATTACGGTGAATTCTAAAATTTAACTACCATTTACTTTAATTTTCACAATTATCATCCCTTCTTTTTCATAATCCTTGTGGCATTCTCCGTAAGATCTGGCTCAGAACTTCTTTACTGAATATAATAGCATTTTGGCTTATCAATTTTTAATTTATTATTTGTTTTTCTATTTATCCCTTTACGTTAGATTGAAAAATAGTTATTGATTGTACTGGTAAAAGGATCTAATAATTGTGTGTGTGAGGGGAAGGGAATAATAAGGTGGGTCTAGCAAGAAGAAGACATGGGGTATAGCAAGGGACGGCGAAAAAAAGATTTGAAAATTGTGAGTAGTGGTGGAGTATTGAAGGTTATGGTCGGAGACTGACAACGGTTGTAATGGGTTTGTGGGATGTTATTTAGTTTTCTTGTTTTTTTTTCCTTTTGTTTTGTTTCTTTTTTGGTTTTTTATTTTCTCTAAGGTCTTTTAAAATTCAAAAGCCATGTGGCAATTTGTGCTTAGTGCATTTTGCCATGTCATTGTGCGTGCACTTCACGCGACTAGACTTACTTAAGCATATTATATGAGGTGTTTAATAGACACATTATTATTAGAGTTAGAGTATTCAATAGGTATTGACTTAAGTTGAAGTGTTAAAATGAAAAGTGGAGCCAAGTTTAAGGGGACGCATATGTATTTGACCTACATTTTTTCTTCTAAAGCTTGGCCAAACTGGCTATTAATAAGATAATTTATCCACACAAAAATCTAAAACTTGTTTTAAACCACAAGTTGCAACTGTTTAATTCTTTTTTATATTCCGTGCCAAATCAAATGGTACCACATAAATCAAAACGGTAGAAGTAATATTTATTTTATGACCAAGGTATACATTGGGATTATTGGGACTACCCCTTTTTTGCTAATAAAGATAGTTATATTAGATTAAACAAAAAGAGTAACAGAAATACAAAGAGGAATCGTTCGAGTTGTAACTATGTCAGAAGAGTCCTTATTGAAAGCACGTAAAACAAAGGGTGGGGGAAACATAAAACATAGGGGATGCCATAACTATTGGCCATCGACGTGAGCTAAGGTCATGCCAAACTTGGCCATGAAATTAGTCACATAATTTGCCTCCCAATAGATATGCTTAAGTTCCACATGTTGCAGTTGTCGCAGTAATGACTTGCAGTCCAAAATAAGGTGTGAGTAGAGAGCATTATCATATCATAGCATAAATAGTAGAACCTTCGAATCGGTTTCAATAAGTAACGGACTATAATTATAAGAGAGAGAAAGTTGCAAGCCTAATAGTAATGCCATAAGTTCAACTTCAATAGCGGAAGAGAAAAGTAGAGGCAAAGTGTAACCAAAAACCCAACTACCATTAGTAGTACGGAAAATACCAGCTACGGCCGCTTGATTGTTATGACTATGAAATGCGCCATCAAATGACCTATACAAAGATAGATTGGGCATTCATCAACAGTGAATGGCTTGATTCAATGCCTTAATGCAAAGCAATGTTTCTTCCTTAAGGTATTAGTGATCATTGTCCAGTGAAAGTTGTGTTGAACAATGAGAGACCTAATGGTAAGAAATCTTTCAAGTTTTGCAATATATGGACTCAACATCCACAATTCCTGGAGCAGGTTGGGAGGGGTTGGAATATAGAGATCGACATACGCAATATGCTAAGGGTGGTGAGAAAATTGAAGCAATTAAAGAAAGTTTTGCGAGGCTTTAAAAAAAAAAATCTCCAAGAACATTGAATTTGAAGCCAAGGAGGATAATGATACTTTATTACAAGTCCAGAAGTAGTTACAACTTAATCCAACAAATCTAAACTTGCAGCAGAAAGAACATGAGAAGTACCAAAAGTTTAGGCACTCATTTTATTCAAAAAAGTAAAACAACATGGATAAAGTTAGGGGATATTAATACAAGATACTTTTATTCAGTCATTAAACATAAAAGATTCCATGAGGTAATTACTCAATTGAAGGATGAACATGATGATTGGCAGACAGGTCTAGAGAGTATAACTCAGGTATTTGTCACATACTATGAATAAATATTGGGAAAGAAATCAAGTAGTAGAACTAAAGCAGCTAAAGCATTCATAAAGAATGGACATGTTTTAACAATTACACAGTAGGTGGACCTTTTGAAATCATTTGAGAGGAAAGAGGTGGAAGCTGTTATGATCCAAATTGACAGTAATAAAAGCCCAATAACTGATGGATATGATAGTGACTTCTTTAAGTCAGTCTGACATATTACAATTCTGGAGTGTTTCAATAATGGAAAGTTTTTGAATAATTTGAATTCAACTAGCATTGCACTGATTCCTAAACTAAACAACCTAGAGTATGCAAGCCAATTTAGGCCAATATCATGTTGTAATGTATTGTACAAGTGAATTTCAAAGATGTTGTGTAGCAGATTCAAAGTGGCTCTTCAACTTATGGTAACAGATAACCAATCAACATTAATATCTGACAGATATATGATGCATAATGTTTTTATTTGCCATGATATATTAAGGCACTATAATAGGAAAACTACTCCTAGGTGCCTTATAAAAATAGATATGAGGAAAGCATATGACACGGTAAATTAAAAATTCTTAAATGAGGTCATGATTGGTTATGGCTATCCAACCAAATTCACAGAATTGATTATGGCATGTGTAACGTCTACCAAGTTCTCTATTAATGTAAATGGAGAAAGTCATATTTTTTTTTAGGGAAAATGGTCTTAGACAAGGTGATCCCATCTCACCCCTATTATTTATTCTTGTTGTGGAGTATCTGTCTAGGATATAGGGAAGTATGAGTGCTCTACCAGATTTCAAATTTCATCTTATGTGCAAGCAATTGAAGCTGACACATCTAGTATTTGCTGATGATCTCATGATGTTTTCCAAGGGGGAAACTGGTTTAATGAATAGAGTTATAGAGGCTTTGGCACATTTCAGTGGTGTATCAGGATTGGTGGCCAACATGGACGAATCTAGCATGTTTATGACATACATTGATGATCAAATGAAGGAAACTCTTCTAAGTAATACATGTTTCTCCCTAGGTACTTTTCCTATAAGGTACCTTGGTTTACCACTGTCATCTAAGAATGGAGCAAGTTGGATTGTTACCAGCTTGTTGAGAAGATAACTAACAAAATCAAGTTCTGATATGCTAAGCAGTTGTTTTATGCATGGAAACTTCAGGTGATTACTGCAGTGTTATTCTCATTTCATAGCTTATAGTGGCAGTCTTTATTCTACCTCAGAGTATTATGAATAAAATTGACAAAAAGTATAGAGAGTAGTTGTAGGGTGGTTCAGGTGAGAAGAAGAAACTTTCACTAGTAGCTTGGGAGAAAGTGTGTCTGCCAAACAAGTATAGAGATCTCAACATTAAAAGTTGTAGGAATGGAACAAAGCTTATGTCGGGAAGTTACTATGGAAACTATTCATGAAAAAGGACTCCCTATGGGTCAAATGGGTTCATGGGATCTATATGAAGTCTGATGTCAATATTTGGACTCATAAAGTTCCACAGGATTGTAGTTGATATTGGAGAAAACTCAACTCTCTTAAGGAGGAGATGAAGAGCTGTTATCAAGGTGACACCTGTAAGTTGAGTGTCAATTGGAACTACTTTATCACAAGGAGTTATATAGCCGTTAAAGGTCCTCACAGGAGATGGCCAACAACTGGTCTTCTCTGGAGTGCAATAGCTCAACCAAAACATAGGATCATCATGTAGTTAGCTACTCAAGGAAGACTGCTCACTAAGGCCATGATAAGTACTCGTCACATACATGTGGATGAAGATAAATATGTGTTATCTGATAATTAAGCAGTGGAAACAAACCAACACTTGTTTGTGGAGTGTCCATGGTCTAAAGATGTTCGAGATACTCTAATGCACTGGGCAGGAATTCAAATGCAAACTGAGAGATATACAAAGAGTTCTGTATACAATTACAAGGAAGAAATGGCAACTGGTAAAGGAGGTTGTAGCTGCATTATGGGCAACAATAGTATACCATATTTGGAAGGACAGGAACTAGAAATTTTCAAGAATATAATTGTAAATGCGGAGAGTTTTGTAACGCATATAAAAAAGAGTTAGATGATAGGATTGACTTTCTCACACATATTAAGAAAGGGCAGAGATGTAGTGTACCGATACAAAGTTTGATGTGTAATTAATAATATTTTAATGCACGATCCAAAGCTATCCAAATAAGGTAGTTAGTAATCCATCTATTTCAATTGATGTGAACCTATTTGATTGGGTACGGAGTTTAAGAAAAGAGAGAAGACTTTTGAATTTGTGGTGTAGAATGAAGCACATATATTTTGTGTGGCTATAAATCATTGCATAAAAGTAAATTGTTTTCAAATAATGAAAGTGGTCATTCTTTTTGGCACGGATTAAAAAAGAAATAAGTTCACATAAATTGAAACAGACGTAGTAGGTAAGTTTTGGGTTTGAGGTGCTTTTATATGTATACTCTTATTGTTTGTTATCAATGGTAATTCACAGTGTTACCAATTTTTTAAAAAGATTTTAGCACATTATTAAAAAAAGATTAATAATTTTAAACATAAAAATATTTGCCTAAAATGTCTTCTATATCTTCTATATGTCTTACTTAATATATAAGACACTATTAAATGACGCACTAGGTGTGAATTTGACAAGAAAATAGAATGCTCTTATTTTTCTAACAAAATGTACTAACATTTTGAATTTAGGTTGGCAAAACAATGCACTAATATTTGAATTTGATAGCATGCAATATTTTTAGAGGGCGAATAAAAGGAGAGAATATTCTACATTTGTATTCACTAAAATCAGAAAACACACACTCATTTGCATCATTTGCTTTTATGACAATCTTGTCTTCACTTCCACTTATCACTGCCACTTGTCTTCTTCCTAATCACACACAACCCAACTAATAAAAGCTCTCTCTCTATTTCCATTTATTATCTGCAAAAAACCATTACATCATCTGTAAATAAATGCAGCTTCTACTTTCAAAAGCTTTCCTTTTTCTACATACAACAAGAACCTTTTCAACAATGGCCATATCTACATCCAGTTCAATTTCTCTTTCTTCAAAACCCCGTCTTAAGGGTGTAATATTTGACATGGACGGAACCCTAACGGTTCCCGTTATTGATTTTCAAGCCATGTATAAAGCTGTTCTTGGTCATGATGAGTACCTTGCCGTTAAATCCAAGAACCCATCTGGCATTGATATTTTGCACCACATTGAAAATTGGAGCCCCGATAAGCAACGTCGGGCTTATGAAATTATTACTGATTTTGAAAAGCAAGGCCAGGATCGCCTCCAAATTATGCCTGGTAATATTTTTTTTGGGGTAAAATTTGAGTCTTTTTTGAGTTATTTATTTATTTATTTATTTATTTATTATACATGTCGATTAATTGTTGTTTGTTTGCTTGTTGGTGTTTTGGGTTTTTTATTTTGGTCAGGTGCTACTGAACTTTGCAGTTTTCTTGATTCTAAGAATATTAGGTAAGATTTATGAGCTAGTTTGTTTTATACCTGCATGAAATATAATGATTTCAGTTAGTATCCAGTATCAGTGGCTGTATATTATTATATATTAACTCGAGATTGCTTTAGAAAACCATGAACTTCAAATCCTGGATCGGTCTCTGTATGGTGGATGCNATTCTTCAGAGTAGGGGAATAGAAAGGGGAATAGAAAGGGGAGAGTCGGGCGAGAAGTAATGTTGCACCTTACGGATGGAAAGGGAGCTCCAAATTAACTTTTCATTTATGATGTTATGTTCCTTGTGAGCTATGGGAGCTTTTCTCTTCTTTGTTTCTTTTCATTATTTAGTTCCCCATTAACCACTTTGAGCATTTTCCTATTTCGGTGTAGTTATTTTCCCTTCTGTTTAGTAGTGTCTATGTCATGGCCTAAGGTATAATGTGCCTAGTTTTGCTTGCTCAATCCTTACCTTTTCTTATTCTTTAAAAAGTTTCCGTCTTGAGGTGTGGGTTGTAAGCTAGAGTTCTTCTTGAAAAGACTGCTTGAGGATGCAGGCATGCCTTTCTTTTTAGACCAAGAAATCTGGTATTTCCAACTTCAACTCGATGGATCATGGACCTGCTCCTCTGCCCTTCTTCACTTAAATGCCAGACCTGGTTCAGTAGTCAGGATCCTTACTCATGATGTACTCCTACTACACATTCCGCATTGTACCACCTTAGCTAGTGAACCAAAGCCCTGGGTATGAAAATTGACCAGATTTTCTTTTCCATTTTTTCGAGTATTTACAAATTAAACTTATTATTCCCCGGGTAGCTTGTTTGGCATTGCTCCCGTGCATAAACTTTTTCTCTCAATTTATTGGTCTTTTAGACTTGTTTTGTATTGTTTTAGGATGCATCACTTATTGTTTTCCTCCTTCTGACTGTCACGAGGATGTAGCCAAATTATATTCCAATGGATAATTTTTTTTTTTTTGATAACCGTGGTGTTCGGGCCAGCTTGCGCGCACCTCGACTAATTCCACGGGATACCTGCCACCTCCCACCAGCAACAGGTACCAGGTAACTCTATCCACCAAGGCTTGGATAGATGGGAAGAAATAACCTAGTATTTGCCTCCGCTGGGATTTGAACCTGAGATCTCATGGTTCTCAGTTCTCACCCACTTCATTGACCACTAGGCCACACCCTTGGGTGCTATTCCAATGGATAAATCTGTTGTAACAAAATGCTTTCTTTCTTTTGGGATACGTAAGTTGTAACGGAATGCTAATCTCATGAGATTTTTAAAATTTCTTATACCTGTCAAAGGCATCTTACATTATTTTATGCTCTTCACTGTCGATGGATTCCCGTTGACCACAGTTTTGATCACATAAGAGAAATGACATAATTCAAGTTAAGCTCCAGAAGCCGGATTATCATGACATTTTGATAAATTAGATAGAAGGAAACAGTTCACATTTCTGTGTCAGTGGTACTGGATAGATTTGATGTATGCTTCCCTCCTTTTGAAAAGTACTGACATTGACTCATTATACTAGTAGGACATGCTATTTGATAGTTAGATGTTTCTGGCACTTGGGAAGAAAATAATTTATTGGTTTTGTGATTCTATTTCAGAAGGGGATTAATCACTAGAAATGTCAAAGATGCAGTTGACTTGTTTCATGTACGCTTTGGAGTAAGTTTTCTTTTTTGACAATGGTTTGGAGTAAGTTTTTTCTCTTCACTTAAATATATTAAACAATTGTTTTGACACGAGTTATGTTTATATTGTATGCTGGAAGTTAGTGAATAAAGATAACTGGACTTCCAGAAAACAGAAGCAGAAGAAGAAACTGCTAGTTTTGTAAAGGGATGAAACAAGAATACACTGTACATGAGAAGGAAGAGGAAGAACATGCTAGTTTAAAGTAAAGGCAAATAGGAAAACAAAATGGATATCAAGCTTAATTTTTTCTTCTTCAATCATTAGCACAGTCAGAGGATAATGAACCTGCTAAAAGTCGTGACGGCCAGGATATTTGTGCAGATAGTATGGTGGCTAATCTGTAAGTTTTTGTAGTCAAACAGAGAAGATCTGCTAAACTAGAGGTTGTACGGTTTCCGTCACAATTATGCTGCTCTAAGCTCCAGTACCATCTGGGGAAGGAGGTAAAGGCAGTTGTTGAGCTAATAAGGAGCATGATATCATGCCCAATTCATTTCGTTACAGGACAGCCCTTGTGGCTGAACAAAGATTTAAAGGATAATTTAAGAAACTTTATGTAACATGATGCGGAATTCTATATAGCTGAAACATGTAACAAGAGAAAGAGGAAGAAAAGGTGGACAGTACACTCTTTCTTCTCTTTTAGCAAAATTGGATAAGGAAACTATAAGACTAAATCTGTAAATGATATTTAAAAGAAAAATAAGTCATCATTTTTTCATGAAAAAAACATGCAAACCTATTTAAAAGAAACGGAAATATGCATGGAGTTCATGTGAATTCAATTTCATCTTGTTTCGTCTTGGGTCCGCTGTAGGTAGCTCACAAGTTATAAACCAATAAATCGAATAGTCATAAGGAACAATCTGCAGACACCATTCACTCCGCAGCTCTTAAATCCATTTTTTTCTTGTATTTTAGTGGTCTTGCAGCAGCAAAACTTTCTAGGACGCTCTTGCATTTCTTTTGAGATGAAAAAATGCTACTTTTTGTGATGGAACACCTCCTCCCAGCATTTGGGTAACCATGCACTTTTTGAGATAATAGAATAGTTGGTTGATTCAACTGAGCTTGATTTGGCTTGTCAAAGCTCAACTACAGTACTGTGTCTGAGTAGATTATTACTGTACACCATGTAAAATCCTGACAATTAATAGGAAGCTCTTATCACTGCCAGTATGGATGTTCTCAAAGAAGGGTAGTGATATTGTTTACGAGTTCGCATTCTGGATAAGCTGTGCAAACACTGGGAATTTAGGAAAGAAAGCACCTCAAGGCCAAAACTGCACGGATTGAAAGGTAGAAGAAAGGAAATAATACTGAAAAAGTACAAAGCCTTCATTACATGGGTTTTATTACTTTAATAAAGCTGTCCTCCCTGTCTTATGTGTAGCACTTTACTTATTCTTTTAACGTTCAGAAGGACCCCCCCC